GCACTCAGACACTCAAGACAAACAGTATTTGCTGGTCAGGAAAAAAGCAGAGTGACCATCATAAATCCTTTTATTTCTGTGGGTCATGTTCTTCATGTGTCCTATATTCCACGTCTTTTTAAGAGTCTAAACATAGATTCATTTGTTAAAAAGACAAAAAGTCTTAAGTCCTCCAATTTCTGTAATTATACACTGCTTTCAATGCCAGTGTTATACTTTCACATCCTATTTAAAAGTACACACACTGGAGGGGAGGGAGTGTGCCCAGGCACCTGAAATGTCAAACTATAAAGACAACGCTATTTCTGTCATTTCTTGGCGTTCTTCTTCCCTCAATTCCACAGTTTCAGTATTACAAAAATATTACTAAAAATATTACTTAAACAAAATGTAAGTACTTTCGAAACTTGAAGTGTCACTAAACTGGCACTTAGGGAAGAAAATAAAAACATATACGAAATGGTTAACAAGAGAAGGCTCTTGTTGTCAAAATGTGTGTGTAAACTCAAAACAATTTTGCAGCCTTCTCTAGACTCCTACGGAAAATAAAAGAGTGACAACAATGGAAGACCCGTACTCTTTTAAGATGGGGTTGGTGGGGGGGGGCGAGGTAGGGAGAGAACTCTACTCAGCTACCAGAACAAAGCAACAGCCCACAGCCTCCGCTTTTAAGCGGCACTGAGGTGTGGTTTTTTTGTTTGCCTCAACGGGTATCAGGAGATCTAATTGTGCCGATGATTTACTAATCATCCAAACAACGAGAACACGCAGCGCTGGGTTTAACCAGGGCAAGGTGGAGGGACTGCTCTTCCTGTTAGGCAAGACCCAGACACTGAGCAGAGGAGGAGGTAGAGGGAAGAGAAGGCAGCAGCCAAAGACACTCCCGGAAAAAGACAAAATGCAGGGACTGAACGCCCTGGCTGCGATCTGACCCAAGGCCCGGGCAGAGGCCTCCACACGGGAAGACAGGGAGCACGATACACTTCAAACCACAGCCGCCCCTAAATCTCGAGGCCGGAAGGTCCCCGACTAGAGGCCTGACACCACCGCCAAGGGGAGAGGAGAGGGACCTGGTTGCCACCAAAGGCAGAGACGAGGACCCCGGCGGAAGAGGCTGCGCAGTAATGGCCGCTGCTCCGCCTCTCGCACCCCGACCGTGACCAGCTCCGGGCCGTCGCCCAGGGCAGGGGCTGCGGCGGCCGCGGACAACGCAGCGCCCGTCACAGTCTTCTTGCCTGCGACAACAGCCAAGGTGGGGGCGGCGGGAAGGGCTGAACTGCCCCATGCCGCCTGGACGCAGAGAGCCGCGGCCGCCCCGGCCCAAGGGCGTCCAACTACATACCGGCCCCTGACCCCGCCGCCGCCCCTCTCAGGCCCGGAGCGCAGGGCCGGCCCGAAGTGCGTCGCGGCTAGAGGTGACACCGCGAGCCATCACGCCTTTCCCTGAGTTAGGATGTTGCAGTGGCTGACTCTGACCCTTCCCCGCGAGAACTTCACCCCGACTCCCACCTCTCTAGCCGCAGCCGCGGCCGTCTCGTAGCCTTTCCTCTTCGGCCTCCGGAACCCGCAGCGGCCGGGAACGCGCGCGGCGGTCACATGACCGCCCGTCGCGTCGCGGGGGGGCGGGGCCGCGCGGGGCGGAAGTAGAGACTTGTCCTGGGGCGCTCGCGCCAGCTGCTCCGCGTGGTGTTTCTTCGCGACCCAATCCTGAAGCGAGCGGTTAGGTACCTACTTTTTTCCTGCCTTTGGAGACCTGCCGTTTCTGCCTGGATCGTTCTAACTGCTTTGTATTATGCTTTACTTGTAATTAGGTGCCGAAGATTGAAAGAATGCAGGTCCACTAGAGATTTGGGGCAAAGGAAGTAAGACGCGTGTAGAACCAGCAGGTGGTGCTGCTCCGAAGCCCGGCTTGGAGACTCAAGAGAAGCCTATGGGCGCCTAGCTGGATTTTGGGGTACGGGGTCCTTGGCAGACTACTGCTTGTTCTCTTAACAACCACAACAAAGGGGTCCTTTGAGAGTTTTGTCTAGTTTATTCACCGTCTGAAGGATTGAGCAATTTAATCGGAAAAAAAATAGATCTTAATTTCCTTTTGGACCCATTTTTCTTAGACTAGAGCATAGGAAGCTGGAAGAAGAGATTAATCAGAAGAATCTAAAACTAAAGGCATGGCTTATCTTGTTGCATTCGTGTGGTTTAAACGTCAAAACCTTGGCAGTATCCTCCATTACATTTTAGCACATACATTGTCTTTCTTGGAACTGACTGTATTTTCTCAATTTATAGTAAAATGAAGGAATAGCATGCGTTTTGTCTTTAAAAGAGTATATATTCCAACATTCCATGGCAGTATCTTACTTGCAATACTGTTGCATTTTGAGATGTCATAAGCTGTTTACTTAAGGCTGGAAATTTTTAGTGTCCATATATATAGACATGTTTACATTTTCTTTTATTCTTCTGAAATCAATATATTTCAAGGTTCTTATTCATATATATTAATATATAACTAGTTCTTGAAGAGTGTCATCTAGCTCAATGATGCTTCATGTAAGCAAAACAAGATTTTTTTATAACTTCTGTAAGTGTAATGTTGTTGAAGAGTATGTTCTCCAGCTTTAAGCTTAATCCTGTCTTTATGTTCTCCTCAGCCATCCAGTCTTACCCCCTATCCTACACACCCCATGAACAAATGATACCAAAAATCTTATATATACTTGAAGATTCTAGCTTTAAGATATAATATTAACTAACAACGCCGTCATTCTAAGTGCTTTACACATATTAGCTCACAATAAACTATGAGGTAGGTACTATTGTTATTTCCATTTTACAAAAACAGACACAGCTGCGATTTGAATCCAGGCAGGGACTGTGTAAGAGTTCACTTAATCCAATGCTTATTTTATCAAGTAAGAAATAGATATAACAAGTTTAAATGACTTACTTAAAGTCTTTGTTGTTCAAGATAGAATGGGGTCAGAACACGAGCAATGTTTACTGATCTGTAAATACTTTTAATGTAGAAAAAGTTATTCACGAGTCTTCCATTGCTCTAGGTGTATATTTACAACAGTTTCTGTAAATAAATATTATAATTGATACTCTATCCATCTACACACAAGAAAAGAATTAACAGGAATCTCACTACAATGCCCTTTAAGGCTTCGAATTGTCTCTCAGCCACACCTATAATCTTAAACCATATCAGTGAAAAACTCCATCTTTCCGTATCCAAACCCATCTTTAATTCCTCTTTCTCTTATGTCCCTTATCCACTTTGCAAATAATCTGTTGATTTGTCCTTCAAAACACATTCAGAAAAAGGCTACTTATCACTTCTACTGCAACCTGCATCATCTTTTGTTTGGATTATTGCAGTAGCCCAGGGACTGGTTTTCTTGCTTCTGTTCTTGCTTTCCTTTGAGTCTATTCTTAACACAGAGGCCAAAATAAACTTACTAAAAGAAAGTCAGATCATACCACTCCTCTCTCTGTTCAGAGTCTCTCATGGCCTCCTAAAACAAAGTAAAAACAAAAGTCTTTAAACAGGTACTATGTTTACACTTAATGGGGTTATTATTTTTTTTTTTAGATTTTTTATTTTAGAGGGAGCGTGAGTGGGGGAGGGGCGGAGGGTGAGGGAGAGAAGCAGACTCTCCCCTGAGTGCAGAGCCCAATGCAGGGCTCAATCTCAGGACCTTAAGAGCATGCCCTGAACTGAAATCAAGAGTCGGATGCTTAATCGACTGAGCCACCCAGGCACCCCAATGGGGTTATTTTTATTTTTATTTTTTTAAAGATTTTATTATTTGACAGAGAGAGACACAGCGAGAGAGGGAACACAAGCAGGGGGAGTGGGAAAGGGAGAAACAGGCTTCCCGCTGAGCAGGGAGCTTGATGTGGCACTCGATCCCAGGACCCTGGGATCACGACCTGAGCCAAAGGCAGACGCTTAATGACTGAGCTACCCAGGCACCCCTGGGGTTATTTTTAAGTGAATAAATATTTTAAATAGTTCTCAGTTTTACTTTCTAATGAACACATATAAACAGCAGTTAATTTTGAGTCTTCTATAATTTTCAAGAGTATAAAGGGATCCTAAGACTAAAAAGTTTGAGAACACTGGCCTCAGCCAATTTCATGTACCCACTCTAACCTAGGTTTCTTCCTGCATGCCAGCAGTCATCTGATAAGAGTTATCAGTTGTGTGGACACAACTTTCTCATATATCTGGAAACAGGAGAAACCAGATTCAGAAATGCACCTGTCGTTATAGCTAGCAGATGAATACAAATAAAGCCAAGGGGGAAGTTTTGAAATGCAAACTTTTCCATCTCAATTGAAGATTTTGTTCCAAGAGCTGATACATAGCTTGGTCTCTGTCCTACCATTTGATGTCATTCTACTTATAGTAATCAAATAAAATATACTTTCCCAGTAGAATTCCCTTGTAAGTAATAGTATAGTAGACGGTTTTACTTGTGTTTTTCCTTTACCTAATGTGATAATCAGTGCTCTCTCTTTGACTAGTTCTCAATGTTCCTACTGCAGCCCCAGAAGTAACAGCCAAATTCTGACAATTGTATTCCTGGGAAATAATGCAACACAAAAACAGTCACTGGGTCAAAATTTTACAGTTTGACTGTAAAGTCAAGCATGCCTTTCCTAACTCTTGTATGAACACATGATGTATGTATTGATTTTTAGATGTCTTATATTGAAAATATTAGCTATTATCTCCCAAACCCCTGCTTGTTTTGTTGGATGACATGACCACTCATTGAGTATGGTGTTGAAAGATAAGTGCTCTGTTTCATTTTTTGACAGAATCAATTGTTTTAAAGCTTGATTATTATTTTAATAAAACTGAAACTTAAACAGTACACCCTGTTACATAAAAGGAAGTAGTTTACATTCATACAGGCAGCAAATATGCTTTACAATATCACATTTTCCTCAATGGCTAGGGTTTAGGGAATTCAATGTTAAATGGACTTATAATCATGCGTATTTGTGCTTTTGTTTATTTATGGAATTATATGCATATCAGTTATCAGCTTAATAAAATTATAACCTAAAAACTTGAAATATTTTGCATAGCACTGTATCAGTCAGGGTCCTATTTGGAACATAGAAACTACCTTAGATATTTCAAACAGAGGGAACTTAATGCAATGAATTGGTTGCAAGTTTTGAAAAAATGGAAGAGCCAAGGAAAGAAGATGAGGATTCTGTGAAATCAGTAACTAGAAAGTCACTAAGCTCTCCTGAGGTCAAAGGAGCAGAGGGCTTTCTGGTGTTCTCAGGACCACTCATGTGTTCCTTAAGCTGCTGGTTGAACTGCTGCAATAGTAAGCCAGGAGCTCATAAGCTCACTGAGGCTGCAGGATCCAGGAACTTAGGCCATTAGGACTTACCTACCCCTGCCACTACCAGAGCCAGGACCAAGACAAGAATCAACTTCCCCCTTCCACCTCCTATTTGCATATGATTGTCTTCAATTGGTAGGACTACACAGGAAACCAACAGTGGGTTCTGGAAAATGACTCTCCAGCTCCCTTGGATACCAAGCAGAATATAGAAGTGCCAGTGTGAGACTGGGCATCAACAGAGAAGGTATTTGCTGCTACTATAACTAGTATTGAGTTTCCCCTTTTATTCTTCCTCGTCCTATGGACCTTCCATAAGGGGTCCACGAGATTCTGAGAAACACTACACCATTCTGATAAATGGAGCATGAAACTGGACTAAGTCAGTGAGTATATACCAACCCCAGGCTAATGACTATAAGATGTGGGCATTTGACCTAAGACAGTGCTATCATGAAATTCTGGGACTTTTGCAGAGAGCTATGGGATGCAGAACCTCTCCTCCTCTGGATGGCATCAAGTGCAGAGGTTACACCTTGGGCTGCCTCCTTTGTATTGTTACCATGAGGAAAAACAGCCTGAAGATGAAACTGACAGGGACAGAACAACTGGACTGAGAGAATGCCAGAAGCCTTATGGAAGCACACTTCGAGGCTGCCTTTTCTCCGAAGTTCTCAATTATGTAAGCTCATATGGTCCCTATATTGTTTTAGTCAGCTTGCATTCACTTTTTGGGTAGTATTTGCAACACGAAACATCCTGATACGTGATACAGTTCCTAGATCTGGCAATAAAGAGTCCCATACTCTAGCTACAAACTTGTACCTCTGGCTCCCACACTCTCTCATTCCTACTAAGCCATTAGAAATAGGCAAACTGAAAAAAAAAAAAAAAAAAACATCTGTTTTGTACAACTGATAACTTTTAACTTTTGATAGAGTACATAGCTTTTTTGAAAAGATAATGACAAGGAGAAATTGCATGATATTTTAAGGTTGATCAATAGATATACAATAAACTTCATATACACAAGAGAAGAACATACCTTGTATTCAGTACCTGTGTAATAATTATGAAACAAAAAGGAAGAAAAGTAACTCATGTACTTAGACTACAAAGAATATTTCAATAAACTTCTCAGGTTATATTTTCTGATTAACAATGTAGTTAAACTGGATATTAATAAAACTTAAATGGGGAAAAATTACCTATCATTTCAAAGTTTAAAGTCTCTAAATCTTGGGCCAGCAATAAAATCAATATAATCTGAGACAATCTTAAAATAAGAAAAACAAGAACACAATATGTCAGCATTTTTTTGAACATGGGCAAAACTTACCAGAAAAAATTTCAGTCTTACAATTTTCTATTACTAAAATTAAAGATTAAAAACAAGAATTTTTTAAAAACGACACAACAGAGGAATCAAATCCTAAATATAAAAATCAAAGTAGAATTGATAATCCAAAAGTTTTGTTTGATTTAAAAATAAAAGTAAAAAGATATAAACTGTGAATACATATTATTAAGAATGAGAAAGAAAAACAGCCATAGATGTGGAGGAAGATAGCATTACTAAATAACACTATACTAATAAATTTGAAAATTCCAAGTCACATGAGTAACCTGGAACATATCAAGCTTCTTTGTACTCAGAGAAATTTTTTGTACACTTCGGACTAACTGTGCCTTCTACGTGGAATCCTACCATGGTCTAAATGTTTGTGTCCCTGCAAGATTCAAGTTGAAATCCTAAATTCCCAAAGGTGAAGGTACTAGTAGATGGAGACTTTGGGAGAAGATGGAGTCATGAGGGTAAAGCCCTCCTTCAATGGGATTAGTGCTCTGGTAAAAGATGCCCTGCAGAACTCCCCAGCCCTTCTGTTTGTGAGGATGCAAGGAGAGATCTGCAACTTGGAAGAGAGCTCACCCAACCATGCTGGCATCCTGATTTCCCTTTAGAGCCCTCAGAACTGTGAGTATTAAATTTCTGTTGTTAATAAGCTACTAGTCTGTGGTATGTTGTTATAGTAGCCCCAATGGACTAAGATAAATCTCTCTGGATCTGTGATGGTTCCTTCTTGTCAATGATGTCTCAGCTTAAATATCAACTCCTCAGAGAGGTGGTTTATTTTTGTTTTTGTTTTTGTTTTCTGACTACCCATAATTCCTCCACATCCCTCAGCCTGTCACTTCCTATCACATCATACTTTAAAAAAAAAAAAATTTGTTTAGGGGCGCCTGGGTGACTCAGCCGGTTAAGTGTCTGCCTTCGGCTCAGGTCATCATCAGGGTCCTGGGATCCAGTCCCCTGTCGGACTCCCAACTCAGCGGGGAGCCTGCTCCTCCCTCTCCGCCTTCCCGCCCCCCCCCCCCCGCCTTGTTCTCTCTGGCTCTCTCCCTCTCTCTGTCAAATAAATAAAATCTTTAAAAAAAAAGAGAGAAGATTATTTATTTATTTATTTAGAGAGAGTGTGTATAGGAAGAGGCAGAAGTAGAAGGAGAGAGAGAACCCCAAGCCTACTCCCCATGCATGGAGCACAGAGCCCAAGGCGGGGCTCCATCTCATGAAGCTGAGATCCGGACCTGAGCCGAAACCAAGAGTGGCCACTTAACTGACTGAGCTACCCGGGCACCCCTCATATCACACCCTTAATCTCACCAGAGTATTTTTCATTACTTGATATTGTAAAGAATTGTTTCATGGTTTATTATCTGTCTCTGCTTCTGAGAATGTAGGTTGCTTGAAAAGAGGGGCCTTGAATGTCTTTACTGCCCAAAGCTCATTAAACAGAGGCACATAGTTGGTATCAATAAATGTTATTTATTCTCTACAGAAAACTTAGTATTATGAGTTATCTGAATAAAAATCAAAAGTGAATTACTAAAAGAGCAAAAATAGCTCCACTGAAAACTTCTGATAAGTGAATAAATAATGTTTTAGGAAAATAAAAATGACTAGCATCATAAGACATATATCCAATAATTATGGAATTACTTAAAAAAACACTTTCAGGGATGCCTGGGTGGCTCAGTTGTTTTAGCATCTGCCTTCAGTTCAGGTCATAATCCCAGGGTCCTGGGATTGAGCCCTGAGTTGGGCTCCCTGCTCAGCAGGGAGTCTGCTTTTCTCTTTCCCTCTGCCCTTACCACCCCCCCCATGCTTTCTGTCTCTCTCAGAAAAATAAATAGAATCTTAAAAAAATAAATAGTTCCAAGGCATGACAGTTTTACTGTTGAGCCCTTGTAAGCTTTCAACAAATAGAAACTTTCCATGTTACATAAAATGTTTACTAGCCCAGAAAGTGATGACCAACTATTCAATGATATATTTAGAACACCTAAAAGAATAAATTTTAAAATTCTTAGAACTAGAAAAAACTTAAGTCAAATATTTAGAAGCAAAACAAATACAAAAAATGAAATATTACTTTTATTAACATATTAAAATAAATATTGTATTAAATATTAATGTTTTAAAAATTGTTTTTTGTTCCAAAAATTATTTGAAGTAATAAGGACTTAATTTGCAATTAAAATTCCAAGTCGAAATCTGAATGTTGTTGGAGATGGACAAGTTATTCTCAAATTTACCCAAACACGTGGGAAATAATAGCTGCTAGTATACAAGTATACAGTGTTTGGTAAAGGAAGAATAAGAATTTAAAAAGAAAGGCTATGTTTTCAACAGTTTTGGCGAAAATTGCCGACTTGGAGGGAGAAAATATATTACATTCACCTCTTATGTGATAAAGCAAATATTATAAACTGGTCACCCTTGTACCATAACTGGGCCACAAATACAAACTGTTGCACGGTATTCTAAAAATCAGAAAAATTTTCAACAAAATATAAATGTTTAAGAAAAACTGTGAAGAAAAAGTAAATCAGAAAATATAGCAATACTGGACTGTCATCCCCAGATGGCCAGAATTGGCATGAACAGAGAAGTGGTGGCCCCCTGGGTTCTGCAAATTGGCACAATTCTTCCTACCTCCTGTTCAATGTCAGCTTGTCTCATGCATTTATATCAATGGCTCCACTCCTGTAGGCATTTGAAATTAAAAACTCCAGATGGACCAAGAGTTAGATTTAAAAGATAAAATCATAAAATAAATTAGAAGAAAACACACGTGGATATTGAACTGGTTCTTATGAATTGGCCTAAGCCAATTTGATTTTGTACAATTCTTCAGTTATTTTTGTTAATTAATAGTAGTCTCCAAGGGTTAGAGGTGGGTGAGAATTAACTACTTCCCCACAACCTCTATCAGGTTATAAAGAAAGTAATTCTCAGACCAAATTCTTCCGCACATGCAACCATTTATTAAATTGTTAGTAGTAGGCAAAACACCTCATTAGGGATCAAGTCTTGGTGCCATCCCTGAGCAAACAGGATATAGGATTCCTTCGATTTTTGTATACTGTTCAAACAAGAACAGAAGGTGTCTCTGAAATTTTTATCTGATGTCATTAATTCCATCAATAAGAATACATCTCACCAACAGAAACCCTTTTCTACCATTCCTATATTCATTAGCAAAATATCTGGTGGTGATCAGAGAGAAACTACCTGAAGCACTTATATGTAGTCTTTGGAGTGTGGCCTTTCTGACTGAAAGCTAGCTAATCACCCTTTAGATGGGAAATCGTGATTACAGCAAATGACTGCACATCATGTGTAGCCTAAGCCAAGTAACACCTACCTGATAGCACACTGTCCATGCCAACACCTTTATAGTGAATTATGGACATAATATTGTCTTTTGCAGGAGAGTACGTTCCAAGCATGAAAGAAATAGAAGAAATTACAGAGGAAAAAGCCAATATTTGATGCCCTCAAAATGGCAAGCTTCTGTACAACAAAAAGACCTTAAATTAAATGGGGAATGAAAAACTGTTGGGAATATTTGTAGCAATTATTTCCTAAGTAAAATATACATTATGTTTATTATATATACACATATACATATGTGTACACATTTTTTCATTATATATGTACCTATGTTTCTGTTTTCTTCTTTGTCTTTTTATATGTTACCTTGTTATGGGAGGATGGTTACATGGATTTTCCTAGATGTGCAGTACATATGCTTACTCTGCAGTAAGTGGATTCTTTACTCTGGCATGCTCATCTTGCTTCTATGTTATGAGACTGCTGCCGATTCTCTCCAGTGTTTCTCTGCTGGCCACAGACCATCTACTGATCCCCACTGGGGAAACCCCATCCTAATCTTAGGCAAAGAAAACTCTCATGCAGTCCAAATAACTGGAGTGTTTTGTTTTGTTATGGGGAGGGCATTTTTTGGTTTTGTTTTGTTTTTGCCTTGCACCAGTTATCTGCCACTCACCCAAGAGGTACCTTCCTTGACCTGGGAGGATTCTCAACTACCATCATGGAGATGGAAGCTTGAGAAAGTAGCTTATCTTTCTTCCTTGTTGCTGTTGCACCTCACACAGCTGAGCTGCCCAGCAGCCACTGCAAGCAGGAGTAGTTCTAGAATAACACCTAGATGACAGCGGAATGTCTCCAGCCCTACTCATTTTCTACTCTAGTATTAACCACTTCCTAGAATGATTAATCTTGAGAAAATCTTTCTATATGTATATAAATCATAGTCTTGCATCAAGGTGCAATTGATAATCACAATATCAATGTTTTACACTGGTACATTTCCCAAAACCTGTGTTATTTGGTCATGCAGTGGACATCTGTTGTTTATGGCTGCCAAAAATCCATTTCCTCTTCTTTTGAAATGGTGCCCTGAACTTTCATTGGGAAAACTACTTCTTCACTATTGGATACAACAAGGAACTATCAATCAAGATGTCCCCATTTCCCTTGGCCAAGGGATGGACATGTGACCCACGCTATACCAATCAGATGCTTTCCTCTCCTTGGAATTTAAAGCTCACATGGAATGTGGAGAAAGGTGGAAAAAGCAGTTGGAGCTGATCAATCCCATTGGGCGATGACTGCCTGTTCCTTTCCATTTTCCCCATACATACCTTTGGCTCCTTACTTTTCCAAGACTGACTCTGAGATTGTGTAAAGATGTCCCATATTCTTTAATCCTCCAACATATTCCTCTGTGCTTGTTAGGATGAGATGATTTTTGTTTCTTGCTCTTAAAGAATCCCAACTGATAAAAGTTCTACTCATGATTGCATTTTTATGTAAGAATGACTTTTCTCCAAATTTCCTGTTACTCGGTTACATCTATCTATGAGGAGAATTCCAAATTGATTTTACTGACACCATCCTCCCATCTGGTCTACTTTTCTCCTAGATGGTGGATCTATTCGCAGGATGGGGAGGATGGAGCTAAGATCAGATCATGCCTGGAATATGGTTATTGAGGTCAAATGACTGTCATGACTCATTTTCAAATTCTAATACTTTCATTTTTGCTTTTTATTGCCACAAATCAAACACACTCTTTGATTCCCTGGTGGGAAGAGAAGAAAACAGATGAAAGCAATGACTGTGATGTGAAGGTGCTCCTTCCCCCTCTTGTTGCCACCTGGCGGCAGTGAATAGGCCAATGCAGGTGTAATCAGGGCTGAGGTTTCCGAGTCTGGAGTAAAAAGATTGAATTTATCTTTGAGGAAGACATTCCCTTGCTTTGTATTAGACTTCTTAAAAATGTCTCTTTAATCATCCAGGTCTAAGGCAAAAACCTACCCGTGAATTAATAGAAAAAAATATATATATATAGTCTCTGGCCCTGGTTCCTGTACAAAGCTCCTAAAATCCATATAATTTCCTAGGTGACAAGAACAGTAGGAACATCTTTTGTTCTGATATTTGATGTTTAACCCCCGTTTCTGACACAGAGTTCCTAAATCCCTTGGAATTTCCTGGGTGATAGCGGTGTCTTTTATTCTAATGAGATGACTCTCCATGGACTTTGGGATGGGGACTGGTCACCAGAAAGACCAAGACATGATTAGAAGCTTGGAACTTTCAGCCCTATCCCCTATCCTTCAGGAAGGGGTGAGGGGCCTGGAATTGAGTAAATTATGATCATGCCTACATGATGAAGCCTTCATAAGAATCCCAAAAGTATCAGGTAGAGGGAGCTTCCAAGCCATTGAACAGGTGGAAGTGTTGGGAAGGTGGTGCTCCTGGAGAGGGCATGGGATCTCTGTGCCCCCTCCCACATAATTTTCCCTATGCATCTCTTCCATCTGGAAGCTCATTTGCATTCTCTATTATATCATTTATAGTAAACTGGTAAACAGAAAGTAAACTCTTTTCCTGAGTTTTGTGAGCTGCTCTAGCAAATTAATTGAACCTGAGGAGGGTGTAATGGTATAGGAGTGCTGACAATACTGATTCCCATCTTTGGCCCTCCATCTTGTTCATGTTTGCTCTGTGATGTCTCTTGGGGCTACACATTCCAGGCCCCTGGGAGATTAATATACATACCTTAGAAATGCCCACCAAGGCCAGGATGGGGGAGAGTTGTTTTGGCCTCCTGTGAATCTGTTAGAGATAACATAGTCTTTCCCCTTCCTGACGCACAGGTGGTGCCGCAAGATCTAACTGAAGAGTAGCTGTCAGGTGCATGCAACCCTCTGAGGTGCATGCAGACCCTCTGACCTCACCACAGTGCCCTTCTGCATGTTCCCTCACTCTACAAAATCTGTGGACTAAGGTCTGGGTTTTGCAAGGAATAACTATGCAGCTGCCATGCATCATTCTCTGCCCAATGCTCCCTGTCAGTAAGTTATCCTGAATAAAACTCTGTGTAAACTGTATGGAGTGGCCAGCTTCATTTCTGGTCTCAAAGTGCCTTTTCAGTGTGGGTGATACTTTACTGTCTCTCTTCCACCTTCTAACAAATGGGAACCTCTAAGTCATAGCTGATTGGCCAGAAGTACAGGCAACAACCTGGGCCTGCTATTGACAGCTGAGGTTGGGGGGGCCCTCTTATGAGACAGCCCTAACCTGAGGGATCTGATGCTTTCTCCAGGGAGGTAGTGTCAGAATTAAGTTAAATTGTAGGTCATCCAGTTGCTGTCACAGAATTCCTTGGTGTGCCCTCCCACCCATAGCTGGTGTTAGAGAGTTGTTAATATGGTAGTCATGTGAGAGTAAAGGAGAGACCCAGGAGTAGTGTAGATTTTCTTTATACTACCCATTATTCTTGGAAAAGCCATTTTCATATTTATATATTACATGCTTTGATCTTCTATATGTATTTTAGGATTATTTCTAAATTCCATGAAAAATCCTGTTGGGATTTTATTGGATAATACTGGGTCACCAAATTAATTTAGTATAGGGTTGCCCAGTAAAATACAAGATTCCCAGTTAAATTTGAAGTTCAGATAAATAACAAATTATATAAATAGAAATAAATAAATACCTATGTCTATGTGTGTATATATCTAGATAGATGATAGATAGATAGATGTATCCATGCAATAATTTTTTTAATGTTAAGTATGTCCCATACAATATTTGGGAGATAGTTATATAAAAGAGTTATTCATTATTTATTTGAAATTGAAGTTTAACTGAGTATTCTCTATTTTGTGTTTGCTAAATCTGGCAACCCTAATTTGGGAAGAAATAACATCTTTAAAAGGTTGAGTCATCCTTTTCACAAACACTCTAAACTCTCCATCTATCTAATGTTTAGATCACTAAATAATTAAGGTTGTATATTTTGCTTATTTTGTTAGATTTATTCCTAAGTGACTTAAAAATTTTAAAGTTATTGTGAATGAGATGTAATGTTATTTCAGGAGTCCTGTTGATGTTTGTACAGTGATCTCATATTGAATAATCTTCCTGAACTTTATTCATTTGTCTACAAAGTGTCTTGAATTTTTGTATTCACAATAATATCACTGAGAAAGAATGAAATTTCTGTCTTTCTGGTTGATATCCTTTTATTTCTTTTATTTTTTACTGCACAGAATGGGACCCCCCCAATACAATGCTGAATAGGGGTGGTAATAGCAGGTATCTGTCTTGTTCCTAATTTAAAAGGAATATATCTATAATCTTATCAAAATATTATGTTTTTAAAGGTTTTAAAGATAGTTTTGATCAGGTTAAAAGTTTTCTATTTCTAGTTGGCTAAGAGTTAATAATAATAAAATATTATCATGAGTGGATATTTACATTTACCAAAAATATTTTCTGTACCTATAGAGATCATCATATGGCTTTTCTCCTTTAATTTATTACTGTGACAAATATTGTAACTGATTTCCAGATATAAAAACATTTTTTGGTTCCTGGGATATTCCCATCTTAGTCATGGCCCAAGCCAACAGAGAGAAACACACACAAGCATTGGTGGATTCCACTGTTAGTTAACACTTTAGCTAGAAGGTTTATATCCCATGAGACATCAGCCTATAATTTTTCTTATAGTATTTATGTCTGGTTCTTTTTAAAAAATTATTTATTTATTTATTTTTGCGAGATCGAGAGAGAGAGAGAGAGAGAGAGAGAGAATGAGCAGAGGGAAGAGGCAGAGGGAGAGGAAGAAGCAGGCTTCCTGCCAAGCAGGGAGCCCACTGCGGGACTCAATCCCAGGACCTGGGATCATGACCTGAGCGGAAGGCAGACACTTAACCAACTGAGCCACCCAAGTACCCCTTTATGTCTGGTTCTGGATGGAAGGTTTATCAGCCTCATAGGGGAATTTCTTCTTTTTCTAGCCTCTAAAATAGTTTGTTTAACTTTAGATTGATCTTTTCCTTGAAGCAATCATTCTCAAACTGCAGCATGCATCACCATACAGAGTTCGTGACCTCACACCCAGAAATTCTAATTTAGTAAGTATGAAAACTAGTTCTAGTATAGCTCGCTTTTGGGTCTATTTAGTAAGGTATAGTTCTCTAAGAAATTATCTGCTTTTCCCATTTTCCCTTATGTTCACAGAATTATTCAAGATATTCTCTTACAATGTTTTAAA